ACGCAGTACAGATCCCTTATCCTTTCCTCTTCTTGGGAACGAAACTATTAATATTCTTAATATCTTTTTTTAATAAAAGAACCTCTTTGGCCACCGTTGAACTTAACTTGACCCAGAACGACAAGATATGACTTCAGACATAAGGGTTGCAGCTAGTAACAGGGAAACAGAGGAACTTGCCACAATCATTATTTTCGCATTTGTTTTTTATAGTCGTCATAAACACCCTGAATACCAAAGAAGAGATTTCAAGTATGGACATTACCTCAGTCATAATTTTTTTCATGGACATTGCCTACCTCATAAACGGCCCTGAACATTTCTTTTCTTACCTGATCAACAATCGTCTGGTGCGGGCCTTCATAGAGATTGTAATCCGCGAACTTCCATTCACTTCTGTTCAGGGAACATCTTCTATCGTACAGCTCAATAGGTCGTGTTGCTGTGCTGTAAACCTTGCTCTGTGCCGATGAACTGTTCGACTCCAAACACGCCGTGCTATTGTGAGCGCACATCCACGGTGGCTCGTACGCCGCAAACACCATGATAAGACTTTGGTAGGTGATGGGCATAAATATGAACAAGAACATGACTAAAATACGGATCTGGTAAGGACCAAACTGGTTTATGCGCCTTAGAACCGAGTCCACGTCCAGGGCCATCGTGTTCTCGAAGCCTAGCACTTAGAAGCCAGAGAGCTCTTTGATGCACGTTGATTTTTTTCTGTTTTGTGTTTCATCCAAGACCTCAACCTGATCTGATCGGCTGTGTGAATTTTGCCCTTGCTTCTTATGCTGCTTTTAGGCCCCGTTCACACTAGGCCGAAGAAATTTCGTCTCCACTCTGAAAAGACATCAAATGTTTTCCGTCCACACTACGCTGGATAAAATTAAAAACGCAACTTTATTTTTTATGGTTATGCCTACCGTCCACACTAATCCGTTACAAAAACGGAGCTTTTCGGAAAACACTCTTCAAGGCTCAAGAAATGACTTGTTTTACTGGCCGTGTTTTCGGCTCATGGATATTTTAGATGCTGGACTGGTTTTTCTTTCTCACTCTCCGCTGAGGTCAGGAGATCGCTTGGGGCGTACTCGC